CCTGCCCCTGGGGGAGCAGGATCGTAACCCCGCCCCTGGGGGAGCAGGATCACAGCCCCGCCCCTGAGGGAGCAGGAACACAGCCCTGCCCCTGGGGGAGCAGGATCGTAGCCCCGCCCCTGGGGGAGCAGGAGAGTAGCCCCGCCCCTAGGGGAGCAGGATCGTAGCCCCGCCCCTGGGGGAGCAGGAGCGTAGCCCCATTACCGGGGGACACTGAGGCATAGAGGGGAAGGGACTCACCCAAGATCACAAAGAGCCAATGCAGCACTGGGGTCCTACGCCTCTGCTCTAACCACCAGTCCCCACTGCCCTCCCAGGGCTGGAGTAGAATGCAGGAATCCCGGATCCCAGCACACACACGAACCACTAGACCCCACTGCCCTCCCAGGGCTGGAGTAGAATGCAGGAATCCCGGATCCCAGCACACACACGAACCACTAGACCCCACTGCCCTCCCAGGGCTGGAGTAGAATGCAGGAATCCCGGATCCCAGCACACACACGAACCACTAGACCCCACTGCCCTCCCAGGGCTGGAGTAGAATGCAGGAATCCCGGATCCCAGCACACACACGAACCACTAGACCCCACTGCCCTCCCAGGGCTGGAGTAGAATGCAGGAATCCCGGATCCCAGCACACACACGAACCACTAGACCCCACTGCCCTCCCAGGGCTGGAGTAGAATGCAGGAATCCCGGATCCCAGCACACACACGAACCACTAGACCCCACTGCCCTCCCAGGGCTGGAGTAGAATGCAGGAATCCCGGATCCCAGCACACACACGAACCACTAGACCCCACTGCCCTCCCAGGGCTGGCGATGGAGCCCAGGAACCCAGGCCTGGGCGTTGCTCTGGGGCCTGGCATGGGGATCCCCCATCAGAGGCTGGCAGTGGGCGCAGGCTGCCGGGCGGTGGACCCTGCTGTGCTCTCCCCTCCCTGCGGACGGAGGCTCCAGCCCTGAACCCCTCTTGTAACACCCCGCCCCCCTCACCTGGCACGCTGGGGACCGGCTCCGAGGGAACAGCCGCCGCTGGGGGCAAAGAAAAGGGAGGGGATGCGTCTGGCGGCGCGGGCT